TCCAGCGTCACATATATGTGACGACCTGATTTTCTTATCTGAGCCCGGCGTCACAAATATGTGACGGGTGTTCATTATCCTTTTAATCAAATGTGTCACATATATGTGACGACGAGGCTACCAAAAGAATTATCTATCTATAGCCCAGTGTCACTTGTGTGTGTCGGCTTGTAAAATTGCTAATTTCACTTAGTTAGAACGTTATGGATACATCCCACAAAAATAAATGACAATTGGTATCATATTTAAATAATAAGACGTCTGGGCTGTGGTGGCGGTTTCTCTCCTGAGGCACTGGTAGCGAAAGGGTTAAACTATTTATAACAACTTTCCACCCCAAAGTCTTCACGATTATTGTCGATACTACGAAATTTTAATTTCCTACATTTCTATCGACCATTGCTGTTCGATTTTGCGACAATCGACTCGTAACTCCACCCTCGTAACTCGTAGTCAACAATTCGAAATGGCTATTGAAATCATAATTTTATTCCCCAAATTCTTCACGATTATTATTTTCTGTACTACAAACTTTCAATTCCTTACATTTTTATCGACCATTCCTGTTCGCCTCTGCAATATTACAAAGCGTCGACCGACATTTCCATCGACCGACTCAGCGAGTGTTACGCTAGAATTTCTGTTTACTGTATTTTTATGGAGGATTACTCGTCAGGCTGGTCGTCGCGCAATTCCATCCGAGTGACCTAAGTGTACAGCGGGTTACTGCAGGTAATTAATCCACCGTCGGACACGCGACCGCGCTTTACGTGTCCGCTGCTCGTGCACGCGTCTCGAGCGTAACCGGAGCCGCGCAGAAGGAGTCAGGCTGAGCTTCGAATAAAGACGGAAACGCGGTCGACGTGAAACCCAACCGAGCGGTCGTGTCTTTATTTCCTCCTCTATTTTCCCTCGTGCATCGATAACGAGGATTCCGCGACAAAGTGACCTTTCCCGAAAGACCCCGCTCTCCCAGCCACTTCTGCAAACCCCACGTTAACACCGAGCGAACCTATCCAAACAGCCCCTATAAAAGCGCGAAAATTCGCGAAAGAGGAGGGCCGAAATGGAAAGGCAGAAATCGTTCCATCTGCCACGCTCGCTGAAATAATAACAAGCCTTTCGGCGAGAAGGGAGTTAAACGAACTCCGAGGAACGGGTATTCGAGCGGATTCGATCGTGCCTCGGAGATTCGAAGCGGAATTAAATCGGTTCGGGACGAGGGAGTACGCTCGTATCCAATGTACCGTGGCCGATGGAAACGGCTATTACGACGCTTTAGAACGGGAAATGGTTTTTGCGCAGGGCACCGTGGCGCGAGCCCGGCGTAAATTCGTCGTCGAGCTCGCGATAAAAACACCGGTTTCGATACCAGCCACGCGATTGTCGCGTTAAAACGATTCGTCAACCGGCAAAAACGTGTCTTCCAGCTAAACGCGTACCGAAAAATCCTCGAGCAAGAAACCGTCCGGATTTAGATCCCCGTTCCAGGCTAGAGGATCGAGAGGAACGATGACTGAAATGACTAGAACGACTGGAATGTCCCGCGACTGGTACCCTCGTCCATTGACACTCGCACACGTAGCCACTTAAGCGTTACGGAAACGCCGAGGGTTCCGAGAGTTAGGCTACTTGGCTTCTGCGCGAGCTTTCAACAGCCGGACGAATGATCTCGCGTTAACGCGAAGCCTCGCTCGCAGGTCGTAAAGAATAATGAATCCCATATTACCTTCGGCTACTCGCTGTCATTGCTAACTGTTCCAGCGAGCAGCATGGCTGAGTGACAAGGGCAAACGGAACTGGGAATTCCAACGAGTCTCGTTTCCTCCCATGAACCAGGCATTTTCCATTTTCCATGGATGCTCGCGGGCCGGAACGAGGACATAGACACGACTCCGAATCGTGTCAGGGTGAATGAAATTTTGGCTTGGATTAATGAAACGATTCGGGATAATATAACTGGCATGCCTATTTCTCGTCCAAGCCGTAATCTAGTTACGTATGGACGTTTATATTTGTAACCAAGGATACGTTTGTGGGGCAAGTGTCACTTGACCTGAACTAGACAGGTCTAGAGATGGTCTATACTCCGGTCAGCGAGAATTGACAGGATATATAAACACCCGAACGTCAACGACACGTGATCAGATCAGAATTGAAACGATCCAAGCATAAGATAAAATATTTCGAGGAAAATTTTGACCTATCTTAACACATTGAACCAATATTACTGTCCTTTCCGTTCAGCTGGCAGCGAGAAAGTACTTGCACGATATTTGAGACGGTTGACAATGACAGACAGCCAGAAATTTGACAAAAGAATCGTCACGTTTTGTAATAGATGCAAAACTAAAACATATTTTTGTTTAAAGTGTTTCGATAAATATCATTAACATTACTATTTCCATTTATTTTTTAACTTTGACACTTGACAGTCCCCAGGGGCCGACGCCGGGCTCAAAGACCCCTGTTTAGGACTTCTAAAAGTCCATACTGACAGCCACGTTCACCAATCACTTATCTATCGACCACGTGATTGTTTTGTTAATATTTCCTGCCAATTCTCGTTCGAACTTCGGATACATCGCAGATGCACTTGACAGTCAGGCTAACTAGGGAATGGGAAAAGCGATTGACGTATAATCGAGTATCCCAGAGAGACTCGGCCTGTGCTATCTGTATCTAAGAGAACTACTTGGAGTACAATACCAAGTATCGTCCGTGTCTGACAACGAGAAGAGTACTTAGAGTGTAAGGGGTTGAGTAGAACCGGAACAGGTCCGGATCTCGCCTGATGGCGAACACGGGACGGACTGTGTTTGAACTGTTACATATAACAGTTACACGGTAACCAGTTCGAATCCGTGACACGAAACGGACACGGTAGCACGGTCTCGCATAAATGGAGCTTAAGTCGTATTAATATATCAAAAGGAATTCATCGGTGTCCCGACGTTTCGTCTCTAATTCCCAGCGATACGTGACTGACGCGCCTCCGCGAGATCAGATCCGAAGAGTAGTTTGCTAACTCCGCGCAAATCCCGGACTAGCGGCGAATTAAAGCTATCGCGAACCAGCAGTGCTCGGAAAATGCCCGCGGATATAATGAGGTTATCGCATCTGCGGCTCGGACACGGTTTCACCCCCGCGACTCGCCGATCTTTGTCCCCCTGGCGAGCTTAACCGTATTCCAGGGATTACCGAGTCCACGATGGTGAATACCCCCGTGGAACTGCGAGCTTTTCGAAAGCGTTTGATCGCGTGCTAGCTCGGATCTTCATCCAAACAATAACTGGACGAGGGGATGCAACAGCCTACGAGCACTTGGGAACGCGTAAGCTTCCATCTCGCGCGAAGTATAAATTCTTTCGGGGCACCCTACGTACCCCTTATAGTCTGCTCGTAAACGTTTTATAGTTTTCATTCCGAGCACGAGCCGCTGCGTAGCTCCTCCGCGATAAAGTTCCCCCCAGCTATTCGCGATAACACGAACGGCTGGCCAAGGAGCGAGCTAACTCGCGAGGAGACCTGGCTCACGATGGAACACGCGTTCTCTCGCCCCTAAACCGGAATATGCGCTTTTATCGTCCACGACACGCTCCACGTAGTTTATAATAACGCGTCTGCGACGCGGGGTCCTCGGAATACAAAGATGCGGAGGGGAACGTGGAGTCGGTTGCGAGGAAGCGTCCTCGAAGCGCGAGGATAGCGAGCGGAACGGGGAACAGTCCGAGTGTAAAGATACAAAGGAAGACACGGTGGAATCGGTCGCGAGATACTTAGGATACGAGAACGCGGAGGAAAATGGGGAGTATGTCGTGAAATTCTTAGAAACGAGTAGTACGAGAAAGATTCCTCGTGTACCTGGATACAGACGAAACTATGGATGCGATCGCGAGTGCGTCGGGATGTTACGATGTAAAAGGAGGTCTAGAATATTTTACAAAATCCGCGAAGGACGAGTGGAATCGGTAGCGATGCCTCGAGGGTACGAAGATACAGTCGGAAATGTGGGACCGGTCGCGGGATTCAAAGCGGGGTACAAAGATACAGACGAAAATACAGAATCGACCACGAGATGCTCGAAATGCAAGAATAGAGTGGAGAATGGGGAATATACTACTCCTCGGGGTGCGAGGAGGGTGGAGAGGTAAAATCGGAGCACAGAGACACGGGGAAAACATGGAAAAGCGGGCTCCTCGAGGTAAAGAGATACAGGGGGAAACGCGGAATCGATCGCGAGATTGTCGATAGAAAAATACGAAGCGTGGAATCGGTGGGAGAAAATGGGGACGCGAAATTTCCGCGCGAATTTACGCTCGCGCGCTTCGTGCACGCATCGCTCTTTCATTTAGCAGTGCGTTCACCCGCGTGACGCACTGTTCGTCATTGAAGCCATTATCTTACATAGCGTTGGAGCACGACGCGGAGAAGGAGGAGGGCCCTTAATAGAGTTCCCTTCGTAACCACTTCCTGTCCGGATCCGAGTCTGTCGCTTACTTTACGAACCGCCTGGCAACGTGCTAGCCAACCACGTTACCCTTCTCGCTTATACACTTCGTTTATATTAATTCTACGCGGCAGAAGCTTTACTGCCAGTAAACTCGGCTGAACGCGCTTAAAGACCCGCCACCCGGTGTCTCTCGTCTAATGCAGTCGTCGCGAGGGTTTACGCAGCGCCGCAAAATCTTACGAGCTTCCTTATAGGCACGCGGCTTGCTCTACAAATTGCTTTAACGCCGACCCTCTTCGCCAGAGAGGCTGAATCGAATGCCGGAAATCGTTAGACACCTCGGCGGACTCCCAGTCACAGTTTTGTACAAAGAACGTCGTAATTATCCTCGTTCCGAAGCTGTTTCCTCGACTCGAACGCTAATCCCTGTCAATTACTGTCAATTACATTTCTTTTGCTCGAGACCAACTTTCTGGTTAAGTTTTCGCGGCTATTCGCTCTAAATGACTATAAAGCAAAGCTAAGGCAGATTCTTGCATCTGCATAGGCTCGGGATCCGGTTCTGGAAGCAGCGGATGCGCGTCCAGCACCCTTGGCACGCTACCCCTGAACCGCAAGGCCTGCAACCCTGCCACGACTTCCGCTGGGGCTTGGCCTAGGTCCTGCGCCCGCCACCGGAAACGGGCCGCTGCCTCAGAACGAGAGGGACAGGGATAGCAACGGGAGCAGCAAGAGGAACAGCGACAGCGTGCTCTGTCATCGCCTGCCGTTGCTGCACCCGTTACCCACTTGCGACGTCAGCAGTCATCAAGGAACTGGCTTCCACGAGATCTTCAACGCTATCAGGTGAGAGCCATTTCGTATAATTTAAAGGACCGACCGCGGAGAGTGGTCGTTTAATTCGCAATTTTCGAAAGGGGTAAAGAGGGCACGAAGAGAGGGGTATTCATTAATTAGACCTTACGAGGATCTAGATGCTAAAGTTGGATTATCTTCAGAGGATTCGGGAGGCAGCAGCGTTACTTTGGCTGGTAAAAAGAGGCCGCTGCGTGGTTTAATATTCGCCGGAGGGAAATTAAAATAAATGCCCGGTTCCGCGATTTTCATTTACGGCTTACCCAAAACCAGCCACTGGAACAGGCGACTGTGGCGTGCTTGGACCCAGTCCTCGGGCAACTTCGCAGGCCGCGGCACGAACAGAGGCGCCGAGTTCTTATGCCAAAGTTTTCGAGATTTTGTTCTCGAACAGCCGGTAAATGAGTTATGGAAATTAAAGAGACGCTGGAGAGTGGCCATTCGGGAAATTATACGAACTTCCGTCGGAAAGTTTTCGCTAAGGGTGCGCTCCCCTTCGAGACAGACGACTGTTAGAAGAAGAATTTAAGGGTGACGAGGGGTAGATCGCGTCAACATCGTTCCTGCAAGGTCGTAGAAATTGCGAAAGTTGTCGCGACTCGTTCCCGTGGAAACGAGGGTAGAAATTTGACGAACAAATGTTCCTCGAAATGGGAAACAATGCTCGTAAGAGCAGATGATCGATCAACGTTTCTCTCCCTGTCAGTGGAACCTTATACCCTCTGGTCGAGGCGAAAGGGTTTTTCGAATAAAATTCTGTCACCTGCCCGGCGACGTGCTGGGTGTTAATTTCAGCCCTCACCTGCGCGACACCTGGAATTCGTTCATTGTTCGCGCACATTTGGCCCTGAAAAATCTCCCTTTCATCTCTGTATTTCCATTACGTGGCCCTCCACGGAATTCTTTCATCGCGTCGCGTCATAATTCGAGCATCCCAGCTGCAACGAGAAATTTCATACGAATTCCCGGTGTAACCGCGTCGAATAATCCCGCGGTCGCCGCTTTTCCCTGCGCCAAGTTATAAACCGGATACCAAAGATTTTTCAAATATCGGCCACACCGGCGGGAAACCGCTGCGTTACGGCCGGGGGAACATCCGCGATACTTTTTAATCTCGAGTCTCGACTCTCCCGTCGTAATCTCGTTTTGCGGGACGTGCTTTCAAAACTGGCAATTACGCCGGGACTTCGATTAACCGGTTCGCTCGCGAGACAAACAGAGCCCCGGATAAACCGATGCTTTGATAATGGAGTGCTCTGCCGCTGCGATTTTTATCCTCGAATAATTGAAAGATTGGCTCTGCAGAGCAAAACGGATACGTACATTCGCGTATTCGCGAATATAAACAACGAGACTGAGAAATTAACCCCTTCCTGTACTTTGACGAGGAAATTGGGTCGAACATGAATATCACGGGCCAGGCTCGTGAACAGAAAATCGGTCCAAATGTAAACATTTTTATCCTCGAATAATTGAACGATTGGCTCTGCAGAGCAAAACAGATACGTACATTCGCGTGTTCGCGAATATGATCAACGAGACTGAGAAATTAACCCCTTGCCGTATTTTGACGAGGATATTGGGTCGAACATGAATATCACGGGCCAGACTCGTGAACAGAAAATCGGCCCAAACGTAAACATCGCGAGTCAGGGAAATCGGGGAACAGTTTTGAAACTGTCATTTATTATAAAATATAATATATTTGCAATATTTTATCGCATAAAACTGACTATATCACACGTATTTACATTTCGGTTCCTATTGCAACTGTTTTCAAGTATCAATCTATTAGGCCCGGATTTGATCGAGCTAAATGGCACAGGGGAAGGGGTTACACGCTGTCTCTTCGAAATAAGTCAAAAATCGCGGTACCCCGGATTAAAATGGCGGACAGTACGATTTTGATGGTACAAGAAAGCGGAAAGCCTAGCTGAAAGAGGAAGAAACACGTTTCCGGTATTCAATTACGCACCGGGAGCTGCACCACGCACGATTTGGCGCGTGTCGTCGAGATTTCAACGCGGTCATAAAACGAAAGTAGGAAACGGGGAACGGGCCAGGTAACGTCGCGCGAGATCGTCGTAAAAAGAATGACAGGCGTCCGTGTTTTTCCTCTATTGGCCGTGCCCCGGAGTCCGGGCCATTTGTTCCGTGGCGCGCTGATGAAAAGGCGGGCAGAAAGAAAGCACTCTCCGTCCTTTATGAATCCGTTTACGATTCTCGCGAGCCTCGGCGCGATACGCGGCGCGTCGGCGAAGCGGAAGTGGACCGGCTGCGTCGCGGCCCCGACGCCCATTGTTTCTCGATTTACGAACGAACCTCACGCGTCAACCCTGAAACGCGAAAAATAACGCGCACCCTGTCTCCCCCCGCCCTTTGTTTCCACCCTTTGTCCTGTCCCGCATTTCCGCAGAGTCCGTGTGTACTAATAGTCGTGGAATTTCGTTCCGTCTTCGTGCACTTTCAGCGATGGCACTTTATTTGATCTTTAATAACCTAATCTGATCACGCTGAGACGTGGAGGAAACCTTGCATCGGTGTAGATATAGCGACAACAGTGTTCGAGAGCCATATTTATTCTTTTATCCAGAAATTCTGATTTTAATGAAGCATAACGGATTAGTACGCAGCATGGAGTTCCTTTTTGTCTCAGTAAAATGTCTGTGGAAGTGAAAGCGAGAATTAAAGTTTCAACAATTTTTTCGTTCTTTAGCGAGATCTCGCGAGGAGAAATTTGTACGACTGCGCGAAGGTACGCTTTTTATTTCGCAAGTTTTACTCGTCGAGACGTGAATGATTAAGGGAAATATTCGTAAGTACTTCGGTCTTATTTCATATTTAAGAATGATATCCGTTTTGTTACATTTTTACCTCTACTGCCATTTAAAATTTATTACCCATTCTACGATCCGCGAGGGAATACGCAAGATGAATTCGAGATTATTTTCGAGCGAATGCGGAGCTCGATATTAAAGCGTAATACATATACATAATACACATCTCACGTGAGGCAGATATTTCAAAAATTTTCCTTAATCGTCCGTAACTCGAAGAATAAAATATACCTAGAACACGTATCCACGCGCTGCCTTAATTCCCAAATTTAATTTCCGAAATATCGACACGTTTTCCTGACCCAACCTACACCCTCGACTGTTTGAATTTCGCGCCACTCCGGGCTTACAGTGGCGCGAGCGATTCGAATTCGCAAAGACCCGTATATCCATCTAGTGAACTTTGACCCGGAATTCATGGAAATTTCGTATTCGAAAGCAAAGAATCGTCACGGAGAAATAATCTCAGGAATATTTTCCTCGACCAGGCGCAATTTACTCGCGTCTGTCGTACCAAGCCTTGTTTTTAATTGAAAACATAGCCGAGGCCATTAATACGCGTGGCTATGGCTACTCGCGTTCCCGATTTTCTGTAACGCAGAGGAACCGTGATTGACGTGCTCAAAGGACGAGGATTGGCACGACGAAGCGCAACGGGACGCGTCGCGACGATACGCGTGCAGGCTTCACGGCGTGTAAACAAAAAGCGGTGTTTCGAAAGACAAAGCAATTCCAGCCGTGGACCGTAATCGTTTTAAACGGAATAGCGTTCGAAACTTGCCTGGCTCATGGCTCAAACGAAATATCGGTTGAAATTTCCATCGGTAACGACGTTGCGCGTCGCGTTTCTCTGACGCACGCCAGGAAAGTATCGAAGCATGGCGGACTTAATGTCATTTAGCATCCGGATCGCTTGAATACGCGCGAACTTTGGTCTTCTTTGAGTGCAGCTGAAAGGGAACTACGAGGAGGCTGGAAGTCCTGACGCAATTAACTTGTTTACGAGTTACAATGGCTACGCGTACCCATCGATCGTGACTCCCTCTCTTTATTCGTCTAGAGACGAATTCCTCGGCGTCGTCGTGCCTCGAGTTTTCGCGGGACTCGTGATTTCGCGAGTGTAAGAAGCGAAGAACTCCACTGGAGTTAATTTACCGAGCGTGGCGGTGTCTCCGTGGCGCGATGGCCCTTTTAACTTCCTAAGAACACCCGTGTTCCATTGTCCGCTGATTTATCCGGGCATTTCGCGTTCACGGCTGCACGATTGCGAGACCTGTCCCGTCTGGGTCGGGTGCGCGCGGCGGTCAAAAGGGAAATCAATCGCGAGCGGGAAGGTTAAAGCGCGATATCCGCAACACGTCGCGGGGACCGTGATCCATGGCCGTCCAGGTGGTCGTTTATTTTCACGGAAGGGTGCCGGTGTTTCCTCGGCAGGGGCGATACGCGGTTGAAATCGAGAGAAACGCGGCCCGATACGCGTTTGATTTAAGATATCACCTTTATTGGCCGAGTAGCTTATCCACCGCGAGCGGTCTGAATAAAATGTTTATTCTCGCCGGCGATTCGAAGCACGACCGATACGTACCGTTCGCGGGCTATATTTTTCCAGCGATGGACACGTCCGGCCCACTCGGCCGGATTTACTTCTGCTGGATACCATTAAAGGCGCGCCATTAGCCGTGCCGCACCGCGCTAATAGTCCGGGTAAATATCCTCCAGAGGATACCATTAAATCCAGATGCGATCCCGACCGATCCACGCGATCCAGCTCCTACAAATGTCCCTATCAGACGCAGGTACACGCAGTCCCTTCGCACGTGTTACTCTTCCATCCGGAACAAAAGTTTCCACGAAGACTTAGTTCGATTAAGAACTCACCAAAAAACCTATCCAAATCAACACGCACACCTATTTATTTCCATCACGCGGCTTCCATAATTACTATTATATGGGTACACTACGTTTGAATAGTCCCTATATCAAACCATCCTACACAAAAATTCAAAACTCACCCAAAAAACTGTCCAAATCAACACGCACACCTATTTATTTCCATCACGCAGCCTTCATAATTATCGTTATCTAGATATACTACGTTTAAATAGTCCCTATATCAGACCACCCAATCCAAAAATTCGAAATTCACCCCAGAAACCTATCAAAATCAACACGTACATCTATTTATTTCCATTACACAGCTTCCATAATTACTATTATCTAGATACACTACGTTTAAATAATCCCTATATCAGACCATGTAACCCCACCATTCAAAATTCGCCCAGAAATCTATCCAAATCAATACGTGCACCTATGTATTTCCATTACGCAGCTTCCATAATTACTATTATCTAGGTACACTACGTTTAAATAGTCCCTATATCAGACTATCCAACCCAGGAATTCAAAACTCATCCAAAAACCTATCCAAATTAACACGTATACCTATTTACTTGCATCACGCAGGTTCCATAATTATTATTGCCTAGGTACACTATATTTAAGTCTTTGACTTACCATTTAAGTTGCGACGGGGCGTGCCATGGTTGACAGCAAGGTCGGTCACACGTCGAGGAATCTCGTCCGAACTCGTCGAAGAATAACACGCAACTGAAACAGAAAGACATGCACAAAAATTAACCACGACTCGTAATGTTTAAGTTCGACGTCATCTACAGACTACGTCTCTCACGATACTCGTTTTTGCACTCGATTTCCTTATCACGAGTCTTACACAATATTACAGGCGAAGAAATTAAATATTTCTGATATCAAACTATTCAAAACATGGCACAGCTTCCATTATTACTATTATCTAGGTACACAATGTTTAAATAGTCTCTATATCATATCACCCGACCCAAAACATGGCACAGCTTCTATTATTACTATTATCTAGGTACACAATGTTTAAATAGTCTCTATATCATATCACCCGACCCAAAAGCCTATCCAAATCAACACGTTCGCCTATTTATTTCCATCACGAAGCTTCCATGATTACAATTATCTAGGTACACTGCGTTTAAATAGTCCCTGTATCAAACTATCCAATCCAAGAATTTACTACTCATCCAAAAAGCTATCCAAATAAACATGTTCACCTATTTACTGCCATCACGCAGCTTCCATAGTTACTATTATCTAGATACAGTATATTTTAGCCTATGACTTACCGTTTAAATTGCGACGGGGCGTGCCTGGTAGTTAGCGTCGGTCACACGTTGAAGAATCTCGTCCGAACTCGTCGAAGAACAACACGTAACTGAAACAGGAAGACGTCGACGAAAATTGACCTCGACTCTAATGTTTACGTTCGATGTTCGACTACGCCTCTCACGACACTCGGGTTTGCCTCGATTTCCTTACTACGAGCTCACACAATATTACAGGCGAAGGAATTAAATACACGCCATGCCGAACTATCCAAACCATCGCATAGCTTCCATGATTATACAATTATCTAGGTACACTACATTTAATTAGTCCCTATATTATACTCTAGGAGGATTGACTATCCTGATAATTGGAAGCTTACCTTGTATATCTCAGTGCCTGACTGTCTTTCATCTTCGCAGGGGGCACGCGTCATGGAACACTCTTGATGGTGTTCTGGTCTTTCTAGAATCGTGATCCACGACACGTACCTCTGCCAATGCTCTGGATCCTTCGAGGTCGCCATAGACCGTTTTAAAACTGTCTGGCACCATCATGGACTTTGGATTCAATTTTTTCCAGCCCTGCTGAATCTCTCAGTTTTAATGGCTCGATTCCAGCAAATTCCGCGATACGTATCGGGTTAATCAGGCACAGGTGTCCACGTAGCGGATTACGAGCACGTGTTAATGGTTGATCTGATTTATCGGGGAAACTGTTCAATTTACAAGCGACCCGTCGAATAATCAACTCGCCGGAATCGATCTCGTTAAACATAGACGAGGCCGCGTTATTTCGCTGCCTGTGGCGTGATTAAATTTACCTCAGACCTCCATTTTTGTAACAGTCTTAATTCCCTCGCCGACTTCTTTCCTTTGCCCACACCGGAACAGCCGGAACGAGATTTAATTAAAAGTCTATCTGTGTTCGATTAATAAAGGGACAACTCCGACCGGTATAATCATCGATCTTGCGTAATTGCTGGGCTTGTCAGTTTCTTTGATTAAATCCTTCCTTCTCTTTCCTCTTCGTTTCGCGCCTGTGTCTCGAGACAGTCCAGAACAGCCTCTCTAGAATTCGTCGCAGCTCCAGTCTGCTTCGCTGTTCTTCAGCGTCATTATTCGTGCAACTTAGTTCCGGCTAACCGAGATTGCGAATTAGAAGACTTGTATCGACGTTCGAATGGAACTTCTTCTCGTTACAGACTCCCAGCGCGTACTCTTGTCAGCCCTCTCGTATTATTGGTCCACTTTTCCTATGCTAATTCACCATTTCTTCCTTCCAAGAGAGCTCGCGATCCTTCCAATTATCGATGCCATTAACCCCCAAGTGGATCCTCGTTAGAATTTGAATCTAGTCCAATTGTGTCACGGCACCCTGTGGAGAAGAGGGTCTTCTCCTTTTCTTTTTGCCTGATCAATTTTACCCACCTCCTTTCAAACTTGTTATCAACCTGATATATGTCATTCGCTATTTAACGCAGGGGCGGGGACAACCACGGGGGAAATTGTCTCAAGTGTTCTCTGATTGGAAGAATTTTCTTCGAATCCCTTCTTTTCCGTTCCATTTCTCTCCCTTGCCTTTTTTAGCCGAGGAAAACCATATTGTGGTTTTTTCTCTGGTTATTACGCAGCTTTTCCGTGATGAGAGACATGTTGAAAGATTTTTTCCCTCTCTCGTGGGTGGAATTGAATAGAAAATTCCGAATTTGGATTCCGACAATTTTCCCGATTTTCCACCACCAGAGGCAATTTTGTTATAGGGAAATCTGGGAAAGCTTCTAGGAGAATTGAATTCAAGATATCTCAACGCGAGAGAAGACAAGATGTTTTTCATTCCACTTTGCCATAGAATTTCGCGGTTACCGATCTTTTATTATCCAAGTTAACTCGAAGGAATTTTAATTCCGTAAGAGAAAGAGGTAGAGAAGAACTAACCCCGACATAAGAAGTCGACGAGATGGTAGTAGAATTTTATTCGTATTTGTAAGAGAATGCCAAGAGAAGTGGGTGAAAGGAATTGTTGGGAAACCGGGAACCGATTGCGATGAAAATTATAGGAATAATTCCGGAGAAAAATGGAACATTAAAAACCCAAGAGAGGGAATCGAACCCTGATCGCCGGGGTGGTAGCTAACTATCTCAGTCCCGGGGCTACTGACAATTCTACCAAACCACTTCTCATTTCCCTATTTAAGGATTCTTATTGACTACACCAATTTTTCGATCAAACGCAGTAATAAAAAATTATTTAAAAGCACCATAATTTTTCTTATCTAAAATGCTACAATACAAGCATAAAGCTCATGCTCATTAGTGAAATCAAAAAATATAATTTTAGTATCACTGCGTTTGGTAAGGTATTCTTATATTTCCTACATCTCAAAATTTTCTTCCCAATTTTTTATCTCGTTACAATTTTTTTATTATCAAATTAAAATATTCCCAAATGTTCCCAACGATAATTTCTGATACCATTTTCGTATTCCCCGTGTCAGAAACCTCCCCCATATTTTTCCACGATTTTTTTTATTCATTTTCCCTCTCCCATCTCACGAAAATTTCCCCGTTTGAGTATCAACTTCCCTGACACACGACTATTACCTAAATTGGTACGTCAATATCGAGCAATTCGAAATTACACGAGCATTCGACTAATCGACGGCGGTTTACCCAATGCCTCAGAGAGCCGAACTGCAAGCTGAGGTCCCTGAACGTGTCCAAGTGTTTGCTCGGCGGATTAGATGCGGGCTGCTTGGGGGAGACCATCAGAAGAGCGCGCAATTTGGATGCTTTAAGGGCAGCCGGTGCATCGAGACCTGCGGACGTGATGCCGTTGGTCCTCGCGTTGACGGAGGCCCCGTGTCTTCAGCTTCTGGACCTGGCCAGCCCTAGACTGGCCCTCGACGATCATCCTTCGCGACTGCTGTGCCACGCTCTCGCCAGGAACACCACCCTCAAGCTGCTCAGCCTGGAGGGCTGGACCTTCAGAATAGAGGTAAGTCCGCGTGTAACCCGATCGACGATTTCTCTGCAAAGAGACCGAGCAGGCGATAATTCGTCGGGAACAGAAGGCGCTGATTTGTATTCCTCGGGCGACCGACACGGTGGGAAGCCATAAAAGTCCAGGAGAGGAAAAATAAAGGGTGGGGCGTCGAGTAGGAATCGTTCGAGCGGTCGGGCTTCCCCTTTCCCAGTGGCTTGCAATTCCGAAAGTGCTGGCTCGTAATATCCCGGTACTGTTCCGCAGCTGGCCGGAGCTATGCAGCGCAAAGTTGCATAACCGTCCCGACCGCGTCCGACGAGGGAGCAGAATTCCAACTAGCCGTCTCGATAACAATGTCTGAAAAGTTCGCATAAGCTTGGCTGACGCGTGGCGCCGCTGAAGCCTTCTTCAGTTTCGAATACCAGCACGCGAGCATGTCGCGGGGCGTTCCTTCATTCCGCCGATTACCGCTTTGATCACGACTTAACAGCGGAAGCTGCTCACTATCGGCTATTAGGCCACCGAGGAAACCGATGAAAAATGTATCGCGTACTTAGAACTCGCGATAGGTAATTTCAATGATATATACTGGGAAATTAACGTTCGCTTCGTTGTGAGCTGAGAATTTTATGCTAAACACTGCCAACATTTTCATCGACGTCTCGAGTTTCACGGAGAAGACTCGATCAGAGACTCTCCCTCTGTTCTTTATTTTTCCGCATACCCTCGGTACGCGTTGGCTGGTTTAGAGGGAGCGAATTAAACGAAAAAGAAGGAAGATCAGGAGCGTGATCGATACGAAACGCTTCTCTGGTTACGTCTTCAAGGTTTCGACCGAGTTTCGAACACAGCGGGATCCATAAAAGGAACCGATGGGGTGTCTTGGGTCTACTAGCAGTAGCTTGGTGGCTCGTAAAAAGAATCACTCGAAAAGTCTGCGGTTTCCAGCCGTGGGACCCGAGTCACTGGGATTTGCGCATATCCCTGTGCTCTCTTCTCCACCGGAATTCGGAATTTTTAACGACGTCGCAGGGCGGATCGGTCTCTTGGAAATTCCATCGGCTTTTCCAGCTCGTGCCAGTTCCCGTGCATGCTCGTGGTCGGACGCGGCCTCGAAAATCGACGCGTCGCACGAACAGGAAATTCGTCCGTTTTCATGCGCGAATTTTCGCCGATCTCCGCCCCCTGCTGGCGTCAAACGATTTCCCCGGCAAACCAGCGGAAACGCCAACGAGATTGCACGTTCCACGAGCGATTACACGCTCGGCTCTCCCTAAACGCGCCGCCTAATCAGATTTATGACGTCGAGATTTCGAAACGACCTGCTGGGGCGACAGGTGTCCCTGATGCGCATTATTTTCACCGCGAGCTTTGATTAACGTCCCACGCCACTGGGCCAATTCTATGTCGATTACCTCCATTTCGTTGCCTCTTCTTCCCCGATTTTCCGACGACGCGGGAAGAACCGTCATCCATCGAACACGTGACAAGTATCTTTGACAGCGGTTACCCTGCGTCGCATAGACGAATGTTAATGCGCATTATTTTCACCGCGAGTTTTAAATTATTGTCCTACGCCACTGGACCAATTCTACGTCGATTACCGCCATTTTGTTGCCTCTTCTTCCCCAATTTTTCGACGACGCGAGAAGAACCGTCGTCTATCGAACAGGTGACAACAGGTGTCTTTGACAGCGGTTACCCTGCGTCGCGTAGACGAATGTTAATGCGCATTATTGTCACCGTGAGCTTTGAATTATTGTCCCACGCCACTAGGCCAATTCTTCGTCGATTACCGCCATTTTGTTGCCCCTTCTTCCCCGAGTTTCCGACATTCCGACGACGTGGGAAGAACTGTCATCCATCGAACACGTGGCAAGTATCTTTGACAGCGGTTACCCTGCGTCGCATAGACGAATGTTAATGCGCATTATTTTCACCGCGAGTTTTAAATTATTGTCCTACGCCACTGGACCAATTCTACGTCGATTACCGCCATTTTGTTGCCTCTTCTTCCCCAATTTTTCGACGACGCGAGAAGAACCGTCGTCTATCGAACAGGTGACAACAGGTGTCTTTGACAGCGGTTACCCTGCGTCGCGTAGACGAATGTTAATGGGCATTATTGTCACTGTGAGCTTTGAATTATTGTCCCACGCCACTGGGCCAATTCTTCGTCGATTACCGCCATTTTGTTGCCTCTTCTTCCCCGATTTTCCGACATTCCGACGACGTGGGAAGAACTTTCATCCATTGAACACGTGGCAAGTATCTTTGACAGCGGTCACCCTGCGTCGCGTAGACGAATGTTAATGGGCATTATTGTCACCGTGAGCTTTGAATTATTGTCCCACGCCACTGGGCCAATTCTTCGTCGATTACCGCCATTTTGTTGCCTCTTCTTCCCCGATTTTTCGACGACGCGAGAAGAACCGTCGTCTATCGAACAGGTGACAACAGGTGTCTTTGACAGCGGTTAGCCTGCGTCGCGCAGAGAAACGTTAATCGCGTGCTTAGAAAGGAGCCAATAACGAGTCCCATTCGAATGAAACTTCCTCTTCCGTCGCGACGCCATTCCTCGCTTCCTAAAACCCTGCAACGAGCTCTCCTCGCGCATATATCTCGCAGTGCATAACATAAATACGTCTCCGGGTTTTTTCCATTGAACCTCTTCGCGCTATCCTTCCTAGGCCATTGTTGGCGACGAGCCATTGTCTCTGTGGTGAAGTACGAGTGCCGGCGAGTACGAGGAACGGAGAAAGACAGCCGAAAAGCGGGGGAAGGAGGGGGCCGCGGGATAATCCTACCAGGTGCGCCGTTGGATTATCCCGAAAGTGGGTAATTAATTATCGGCGATGCTGGCCAGGTCGCTGCGAGTGGGAGGACGAGGAGATAAAGGACGAGCGACTGGAGGCATTGTTTAGAGCGTTCGCTAATTGCCGGGCTGTGGAGCCGACGTGCAAGTTCGATCTTCGACGGTGGAACTCCGCCATCCACGCGAGAGATCGTTTCCGTTTTGTCGTGGTTTTGTCCCATGGTCTCGTGTCGATTCACGGTGGGTTCTCTGCGTTAACCCGGGGTCCTAACTCTCTTAACTATAGCGAGGGTACAGCGAGGTGGGAATGGCTTACGTCGTCGATGGCTGCGACGCGTTTCGCTAATTAGCGAGCAGTTACCAAGGTACTCCTCGCGCGTGGAACGTCTTCATGAATAATACAGGATGACCCATTTTATCGCGTTCGCCTTAAACTTGATCTCGCGGTCTCCCTTGATAGAGACGTTTAAGGGGGCTTCTTGTATGTAGCGTCAGAAAGAACTTTTCATTTTCTTTAAATACATTTTCGAAAATACTTCCTGGAAATATTAGATTCGAAATCTTAGAAATAACGTTATGGCTGTAATAGTAATAATAAGTATGGCTAATAATAGTTATGGCTGTTTCAATTAGATGGGAGACCACGTGAAACTTCAAACGCGTATTTCTCAAAAAATTTTTGAGGGATTGGCATGAAATTTTGCACACGTATTCGGTATATCTGTGGCTATGACTGCTACTAAAATTATTCGAAAATTCGCATTCCTTCTATTTCTTTAACACTCGTGTATCTTAAAACAAGGGGAAAAATGGATGAAATAAATTCAGAGAGCCGCCATTTTTTTACTTACAGATATTTTTGGTTTCATTTAATGTCTTTCATAGCGGTACTCGTACCTAAAAGGAATCCATTTGAGTTTTCTATTTCTGATAACAGGAAGAGCTTGTATTACGAACACCATGAATAATGGATTTTTAAGAGGTCCTTCAGACGACGGCACGTAATGTCGACAATTTTCCATCTTTTTTTATCGAAAAATGCAATACGCGTAGTCGAAGACTATAGAAATAAACCCTGTTAATTTCAAAACGCAGGGTGTTAATAATCCTTTGCAATAATTTTTCAAAAATATCGAAAAGTATCGAGCAAGCTATGTACTGTACCTCTCTTAACACTAGATTTACGGAACCCGTCAATTTGACGGAAAGGTTGCTCTAATTATAACAGATTTAGTTAATTTAGGTTAAGACTGTTAATATAATATATAATTGTTTTTAAATTAAACTAATCGTCAAAAAGAAAGGCACGTGGTTTCCCTCACCTGTCAATTTGACAGGTGTCCTTAAAAATAGGTATACAGATAGCGTCCGTAAACCTAGTGTCAAGTGAGGCTGACTTCAGAGTCGTTGATAATGAGACATGTCTTCGATCGAATCGGAAGTCGATCTGGAGCCGGTGGTCTGCCTGAATACCTGACTGCTCCACTGATTTGCGCGACATCGGCGTTTGCTCTCTAATTAGAAACGCGTCGTTTCCAGGGTCGTGTCGAAAAGGAAATTCGCGAGTCGCCTGCAGACGGTGGATGAAACGAACGGGAAGAATTATACCCCGTAAAAGTTCTCTTTGTAGGAATTATTCGATCGACGTCTGCCAGGGACCGCTCCTTTTCCACCGACTGAGCATTAAAGTCTGTTTCTACTGCCGATTCGCGAGTCAACCACCGTGAGCTCCTTTGTTCCCCTCGACTCCTCGTATAAAATGCCATCCGCCATTCTATTTGTCGCGCACGCATCAGAGGCCGGGGTAATAAAACGAAGGGAGGGAACGGAAGAAGCGAAAAGCCAGTCGTATCTTCGACTCGGTCGGATCGAATCGAACGAGCAAATAGGGAGAGGAAAAAGTAAGAAATTTCGAACGACGACATGACCGGTCGTTAAACCGGAAGCACGTACACACCTACACGCGTGTACCCGCATGGACCTCGTAAAAGAGGTGCATTCGAGAAAGTCTATCGCGCAATTACCATAAAATTCCGGATTATTCCGCGGTCTTAGCGTTAGCTCTTTCCCCATTCGCCGCGATTTCGCCTTCGTTTCCGCCATTATCCCGCGACAAAGAAGCCGCGAATCTAGACCGAAGTTGGATGAGCAGGAAGGAAACGAGAGTAAGTATTTTCGTTCGATAAGACGGATCACG